TTTTTTTCTTTGATTAAAGATTTTTTTTGTTAAAATATTGTATAAAAAATTTCTTCACCACCAAATTTTGTGTAAAAAAATTCTGTTTTTTTTTTATTTTTTTTATTTTTTAAAAACTTTAATATAATTTTTTTTTTTTTGGAGGGTTTTATTCAGGTATTTTTGTTTTTCCCTACCCCCCCCCCCCCCCCCTGGCAGACCCTGACAAATCTTCAGATTGTTTTGAATACCCAAAAGACCCCTACTTAAATAAAGCCAACCAAAAGTACTTGCCAAATTTTCCTACCCAAAATAATCCTGGAATAAAAAATTTCAAACCCCCAAAAATTCTTTCCCCCGCCTGGGGTGGATGCACTCATAAGAGACTAGAAGGCTACTGTGGTTATGCCTTCCATTGACTCCCAAAAAATCCTTAACAAAATCTTTCCTCCTAAAAAAGTCACCACATGAGAAATAATATGATACTAAGCTAAGTGTGAGTTTTCAAATTTCCCAGGGTTGTCTGTAAACTAATAAACAGAAGTATTTTTTATGCTACTAAACAGCAACAGAGCACCCACTATCATTTCTATCCAACCGCAACTTACCCAGCTACAAACAAATGGCCTTTCTCCCTTATGCCAACGCAAATGAGCCTTCAAATGAGAGGTTTTTCCATAAACCTGTGAACAAAAAAATGATTACAGATGATGCAAATAGTTTTCCCTTTATGCCAAGGTTGATCCTCTGCATTAATAGTCATAAATGATTACCGGTGTGGGTCACTACTACCTGTATAAATTGTTATTTTTCAAGAAAATCAAATGCTGTTATTCTTGTTGGTGTTGCTGTTTATCTGTTAAGAGTGAGAGCACAACCACACCTCATGGCCAAAATGGTTGATGCCAAAAACAACAGATTTGAACTAAGATTTATTTTATTATCATACATTGTACTCATTATCTGTATTCTCATTGGCTAAGAGCCCACAGCTAATTTTGGAAATCAGCACAACTAACAGATTAGTTAGTTATCTGCTAATCTGTAGGCTTCCATGCAATGCATGATATCAAATAACAATATCAATTCAGGTTCCTTGAGACGGTGTGTTTGTCATTTTAATTTTTCTTCAAATAAATGGAAGTATGATACTTGGAATAATCAAGGTTTTGGTGAGTATTATCAACCTTGACCTTTGGCTTGATTGATAACGCCTACCTCTACCTTGATTATTCTGGATATCACAAAAACCTCATCCAATAATTGTTTATTATCATACATGTGTTGGTGTATGTTACTGTCAAACTCAGAAAACCATGAACACCTGAAAAATTTCAGGAATGTTGATTGTGTACTGGCCAATCACAATAAAGTTCAGGACAAGTGAGCAAACCTCTAAACCACAAACTTATTACCGTTGCTGTTTGCGGTTTAGTTATCTTGCGCCTTATTGGCTTATTTCTTGCAACACAATAACATTCCATAAATATTTCTGGTGTTCATGGTTTTGTGAGTTTCACAGTGAGTGCACTAGCACCAAGACAGTTAATAACTCACCCTTCAAGGGGCAAAGTCTTAATCTGTTTTGAGCCTAATGATTAATTGATTGATTTAATTGTTGTAATGAAGATTTTGAGCCTTAACCTTTTGGAGCAAGGAAAAACTGGTAAAATTCACTGGGTAAAAGCATTATAATTTGACTGACGTCATGTGATTCATGGCTTCAGAAAGTATAAAACGAGTCTAAAAACAGGTCCAGAAAAAAGGAATTCTATGCATCAAACAGGGCCAGGGTTTCTTTGCTTGCTAGTATAATTAACAATTTATTAGTTCATGATTGATAAAGGTCTTTCAACAAATGTGTTAATTTCTACCTTTCAGAGCTATATTATTTTATTATGAAGTGTACCTTGCCGCAGCCAGGATAGTGGCAGCTGTGTGTCCTCTGATGCAAGTTTCGTGTTGCACTGTTCAGACCACTGATACAATTGGGGCAAACACAGTGAGAACGCCTCTTAGTTATCATATCACCTCTCCGACCTATACACAGAAAACAAGAATGAATATGTGGGTTGTTTAAAGCCAGTTGCAATAGCATGATAAGGATTATTCCTCATGCATTGTTAGGCTAATATTAACATGTAAACACTAAAAAATGTCAGCAAGGTATCAGGAAAAAACAAAACTTTAATACTCCTACTCGCAAAATCTCTCAAGTCTATCTATGTTTACATTTTCATTCCCTTTAAGAATTACTTTAAAAAATTTTATAAAAGATCAAAGTATTTTCCCCTTGGGTGATTATTTTATAAATTCTCATAACCTAATCTCTTGAGTATGTATATGATTTTGTTAGGAGAGAATTGATGTTGATCACTCTTTACGCTAAAAGGGTTGATAATTATAAAAAACAAGTCCTAACCTTCCACTTTTATGTTCTTTTGTCCTGTCATAATGTTTCCATGCTCAGGGTCAATTTTTGCTACCAAACTGGAAAGATTTGCAATAGGAGATGACGGCTGGTTCAATGGCACATCCAACAATAATTCATTTAATTCTGTCTCTCTCTTGATTTCTCTGTGACTGTCAGCTGGTAGTGCCATCAATGTATCTACTCGCCATTTTTTGCTGTGAGATGCTGATTCAGCGTAAGTACATTGCTCATCTGAGGTCATGTTACCACTGTCTTTAAACTTACACTGACCGAAAACCTTTCCTGGATCAATGGGTCTCAATTCTACAATGTCATGGCAAGAAGTTAGTGAAGTTTTTGGAAAGTACATGGTCCTTTCATTTCCTTGAGTTCCTTCATTCTGAAAACTTGTAACTTTCACACTGTGCTCATCAGACGAAATACAAGAATTTTCCTCAGCAGAGTAACCCATACTCCTGGCTCGCATTATATCATTTTCATATTTCACTCCCCTGGAGTTAAAAGAATCGTAGATTTGACTTCCCATTTTTTGACTGGGTGGCTGATAATGAGTCATGGAGATACCATTATGCATGGAGGTGCTGTACATGTTAATTGCGTGATCGTTTGCTCTTGATGATAGTGGATATCCAATCACACTTTTGGTCACAGTCTCAAATCTTTGAGGGTATGACTTCTTATCAGTATTAACAAGGTCATTTGATTTACACTGGCTTTTGGTAAAGCCTGTGTTGTGACCTCTTGAATGATCTGTTGCATGACTAAGTTTGTGAGTGCCAGCAAAAGAGTTTACCCTGGTATCAGAAGATCCAGGACAACTCTGACAGTTGTCTGACATTATAACTCCATTACTTCCCGGCCCTAAGTTTCCTGATATGTAACTATAACTGGATTGCTCAGGAGATGTAACGTAAGCATCTTGGCAACAGCATGACATCCTGCTGTGACCGCAAGGCAACAGAGGACAAGAAATATCAACACGGATGCTCACAGTTGGGCACAGCTGCTGTGGTGTAAAATGACTGACAGCATTGTTCAGTGGTAAAACTTGTGACGTACCCTTTAGTAGCCTTGAACCATGGGAAAATTGCAAATCTTTATTGTTTTCTATAGGCCATGATGATGTGCTTTCTCTACACGCACTGGGTACTGTCACATTGTAGCTGCAGTTTCCAAGTGATCTGGGAATCTTGTTAGTTGAACTTTTAAAAGTAAAAGGCATCACTGTTTTATTGTAGTGGCAATGTGTCTCACTTGGTAGAATTTTTCGATGGCTTGGATTTGCATGATGGTTTAAGGCAAAGTCTTGATTAATGGTTGGATGAACAATACCAAAATCTGCACTCTCTTCACAGAGTTTCCTCGGAGATGCAAATTTCGTTTCTGCAGTGATTTCTGGAATATACATCTGAAAGTCCTCATAACACGCACGTTCAAATCCCGACATCTGCTTCTGAATTGCAGGTGACTGCTTTGTTGTACTGTGGCTGTCTGCTAGAAGGTGATTTAAGTGATCGGAAGACGGCGGATTGTACGAAACGTCGAACGGCTTCTTAAGGTTACTGCAAGAAGAGTGGACAGCATTTAAATTAGGCCCTTCTACTTCGACTGACAGATTGCTGCGGAGAATTTTTTTTTGCCCAGAAATGGCACCAGAAATTCCTTCACATGAGCGTTCGCACTGCATGTAGTTTTGATGTAACTCCATGATAAGCTGAAAACTACTTTGATTTCATTAACCCGAGCCAACAAAAGAGTAATCTTCAAACGAAAACAGAGTCAAAGTTCAGGTCTGTGGCTTGGCCTGAACAGTAGTTAGATCTTTGTCACCCTTCGGTCAAAAATTCGTAAACGTTTGTAGATGGTCAGCAATGATTCGGTAGAATAAATCCTTACCACTCAAATCAAGCCGTTTACTACTCAGTATCGTTAAAATGCAGCTTTTTCTTCTTTAGACATGAGCAAATGAAGTATGAAATAGATTTACGAACAATATATCTTTTGTTTTAGTGACTTACCGGTTAATTTTTGTTCTGATAAATTTCATTCTTTGCGAATCCTTTCAAAGAATGATGCAGCGAGCTTGTCTTTTCCCCTGTGTACTGATATGATAATTGAATGAATAATAAAACACCGGCGCATTATTTACAGCTTATAGCGATCCTAATGAGTTTAAGACATGCACAGGATAATTAAGCTCTGAAGGAAGCACTAAAAAGCAAATAAATTGAATTGCAAAACCGACCTTCCGATCGCTTTCACTTGAGTCGCGTGCGAATCTCGCGGGAATTTTGTTCCTGAGCCCGCGACCAAAATCTCTGCCTCGTGCCTCTGCAGGTCCCGACTACAGGGAAAACTACAGGCCCTCCCTCAACAGACGGAACTAGGCGGGAAGGGAGCGGTGGGTGGGGGAGTATTCATGAACTTAGGCAACATGACAGGAGAGGAAAGAAGACGGTAAACCTTGTGTGACAAGCGTGACAATAATATTGTTTGAGAAAACTTTCCGCCAAACTTTCAGCTTCATTTAAACAGATCTTTTTGTAAAAGACCAGAAAACATCAATGTTAACGGAGGGGGACATGGGGGTTTACGGTATTGCCGTATCGAGCTTTTTTTCAAGCGGTATCTCGTTAATTTTGATTTAAATGTGCGGTATTGCGGTATCATCTAGCCCGTTTAATTTGAAGCAACATGTATGTTCTCCTACTCACGGTGCTGGTCACATACTGAATCTCCTCATAACAAGAGATGATGATCAATTAGTTACATCTGTTTCTATTTATGACGCCGCTTTCTCTGACCATTTTGTTGTTAATTGTGCTTTGTCCATGGAAAAACCTTTATTTACAAAGAAACAAATTATTTATCGTAGTTTTAAGAATTTTGATATTGATCTTTTCATCAGTGACCCTCGAGGTTCTTCCATCATCAGTGATCCGCCAAATGAACTTGATGATCTAGTTGCACTTTAGTGATTCTAAGCTATCTGGAATTTTTAACAGACATGTTCCCATTAAGAAGCGTACCGTTACCATTCGCCCAGCGGCACCTTGGTACTCAGAAGAATTAAAGTCTGAAAAGAGGGGGAAAAGACGGCTTGAGCGACGGTGGCGTGCTTCCCGTTCTATGCGTGATCGTGAAGCTTACGCGCGTCAATGTAAAGTTCTTAAGGATTTGCTATCTTCATCAAGAAGTAACTATTATTCAAATCTAGTTGCTGAGAATCAGTCCAACATGAGATCGCTTTTCGCAGTTTTTAGTAAACTACTTCATCGACGTCATGAGGCGAAGTATCCAAAGCATGATTCCTCGTCTTCTTTGGCTAATGATTTTGTTCTATTCTTTGGTGACAAGATCAGAAGAATCTGTGGTGACCTTGATCAAGTCCCACCTTTGGATACTGCTGTAGATAACGGTACTACAGGCTGTCGACTGAGCATGTTTTCGACTGTTCCACCGGATGAACCCTTGAGTATCATCGGCTCAACTACCCCTAATTCCTGTGATTTAGATCCTGTTCCTGGTCATGTACTTAAATGTCTGTTTCCTTCTATTCTCCCAGTAATGCATAAGATTGTCAACCTTTCCTTGGAAACTAGTCGGATGCCTAAAATACTTAAACAAGCTATACTTAAGCCACTGCTAAAAAAGCCCTCTGTGGATTCGAACGACTTCAAGAACTATAGGCCTCTTTCTAATCTTCGTTTCATATCCTAAACTATTGAAAAATGTGTTGCTAAACAGCTGATTCAATACTTAGATATTAATGACCTTGGTGAAATATATCAATCAGCCTATAAGAGAAACCATAGTACAGAGACGGCTCCTATTAGAGTCCACAATGACATAGCCATGGTAATAGATCAGCATAATTCAGTTATCCTAGTACTTCTCGATCTTTCGGCTGCATTTGATACTGTCGATCATGATATCCTCCTCTCGCGACTGCCCAATCGCTTTGGAATTACTGGAACTGTACATGTATTGGACTGGTTTCGATCATATCTTTCTGATCGTACACAGTTTGTGCAGGTTAATGGTGCGTGCTCTGCTTCTCATGTTCTTGAGTTTGGTGTACCGCAGGGATCCGTTCTTGGCCCGTTGTTATATTCAATGTACACATCCCCTCTTGGCGAGATTGCTCGACGCCATCAAATGTTCTATCACTTTTATGCTGATGACACTCAGCTGTATATTACGTTCAGGACGTCGTCTGTTTCTGATATGAATCTGAGTAACGCCAAATTGGTAAACTGTGTTCGGGACATGGACGCATGGATGCTTTCCAACAAGCTGAAATTAAATAAAGATAAGTCTGAAGTTCTCGTAATATCCTCCTCCTATCGACCTCGGCCACCACTATCTTCTGTTGATGTACGTAATGAGACTATACCCTGCTCCCCCAGTGCACGCAATATTGGAGTTATCTTTGATCAGTCCCTTTGTATGGTACCTCATGTCAATGCAGTCTGTCAATCGTCCTTTTTCCATCTTCGTAACATTGGTTTCATACGCAAATATCTTACTTATGATGCTGCAAAGATCATTATTCATGCCTTCGTAGTTTCTAAACTTGATTATTGTAATTCTTTATTGTACGGCCTACCATCCTATCTTATGCGAAAGCTTCAACATGTTCAAAATTCTGCCGCTCGCCTCGTCAACCAGTGTCCAAGATTTTGCCATATTACTCCAGTCCTGAGGGATCTTCACTGGCTCCCTGTCTCCTCTCGGATTGAATTTAAAATAATGTTAATTACTTACAAAGTATTACATGATCGAGCTCCAATCTATATACAGGAACTCCTTCAATTGTATACACCCAGGCGCAATCTTAGATCCTCTAACTGAAATTTATTACTTAAATCCCCGGGGGGGTACTGCCATATATGGGCTATATAGGTATGTGCCGCTGTGAAGGGTATGGTTTTCAAGCAGTTTACTCTAGGATAGGGTATATAAATCAGAGCGTTTGGGTCTAGAATAGGGTATCATTATTCAGGAAACTGATCAGTTGCTTGAAGATTTTATCTAGACTAGGGAAACAGCTACTCTAGGATAGGGGGCATTTGGGGAGTTTACTCTAGTATAGGGTAGCAAAATTCAGCTGAACTAGCTCTGGTATAGGTTAAGGGTTCCAGGGTCCCAGCGGCACATCCCCACCCAGAAATTCCTAAAGTACCCCCCCGGGGTTAAATCCTATTTTAATCTCAATTCGTATGGTAAACGAGCTTTTTCTAATGCTGCTTCGGAACTTAAGAATAACTTAACTGAGGATATTAAATCTGCAAACTCAATTGATGATTTTAAACGCAAACTTAAAACATTTCGTTTTATGCGAGCTTATGAATCGTGATGTCTTTACTTTATTTTATTTTATTTTTTAATTTAATTTAATTTATTTTTTTATCTATTATGTACATTTATCTTTTTTTGTAGTTAGCGTCTAGTTTTCAATGTCAATTTCTTGTGATTATTTTTACTTTTGTCTAATTTTTGTAAACAGCGCCTTTGAATCTTGTAGAAAAGGCGCTATATAAATGGATTATTATTATATATTATTACTATTATTATTATTGCTGTATGCGGTTTTTCATCCTTTTGGCTAACGGTATTCGGAGAAATAACAGACTTCACGGTATTGCGGACTGTTCATTTTCGCTCTCCTGTCTAAAGCAGGTCAATATTTTTTTTAAAAAAAATTGGTAGGGAATCTAAGATCATCTAATGACGAAGCTTTTTAGATGGTTGTACCGATCAATTTGAAGTCTTCTCATGGTTTTTCGCAATGGCTGAGGTTGGTTGCTGGTGCATACATGCTTGCAATAAACAGACACGCGAGTTTATTACAACTTTAATAGACTATTAAGTAAGCGTGAACGATCATAATTGCGGTATCGGTATTTCGTCGATTTTCAACACGGCATTTCGGTATTTGCCAATTTTTCTTACGGTATTGCGGTATTCGGTACCCCCTAATGTCTCCCTCCTTAAGTGAAGCCTCACGGATATGGGACCTCACGACAAAACACGCTATTAATGGCCCTGTGACGTTGGTAAGACACAAGCTAAATGATGTCTCTAAATATTTAGGGATCAACTTCTCGTATGATTTTTACGCTGGAATGATCATATAAATGAAATTACTACCAAAGCAAACAAGACTCTGAACTTTCTCGGTAATGACTTAAAAATTATTGTTAAAAAATAAAATAAATAAACAAAAAATTATAAATGAATGAATGAATGAATGAATAATAATAATAAACATGAAATTACAACTGAAAAGCACGCTTAAAAAGAAATGTTTTGATTTTTGATTTAAAAGCGCTCAGCGCACATCATGTGCGTAAACTGACTGGCATGGAATTCGATATCTTAGGAGTTGCGTGTGAAAAAGCTCTGTAACCATAGGTTTTAAGGTTATTATTGGGCTGAACTAGGAGTCCTTTATCTGCAGAGCGCATAGTTCTTGTTGGTCTGTACATCATTAAGTGATTTAAACGTAAGAAGTAAAAAGACGTGCGGCAGAATTTGCACAAGCTGAAATTTGGTAATGTGATCCGCTCGAAGCCCAGATAAGAGAGAGTTACAGTAGTCGAGTTTTGACATAATAAATGCATGTATTAAAATCTTGCAGTGAGTAGGCCGACGATATAGTGCTTCCTAATTTTAGAGATATTGCACAGATGGAAGAAGGCCAAC